AATAAAAGGGGGAGATGCAGGGTTTGGCTCTATTGTCATTGGATCTTGCTTACCAATTACTGAAAATAGACTAAATTGACTCTTTGTTTAAATAAGCAGCCAATTACAGGATTATTGGACACCTTTGCTGATGTTACCCTTATTCCCCTTTCAGTATGGCCTCATTCATGGCCCATTCAAAGGCCTACCCTGGTTTGGGGCATAGGAGGCAACAATGAACAGGTGTCCAAGAGCTCCCTGTGGCTGCAATGCTCTGCACCTTCCAATCAACAACAAAATATTACTCATGTTCAGCTACATGTTATGGCAATACCTTTATCCATATGGGGAGGAGAAATTTTACATAAACCCCAGATGTCTGTGGAATTTCCTTTTTTTTGTAGGGGCCTCTGTATATCTGACTGGCTTGCCACTAAAGTAAAAAGTCACCACCCCTGTCTAGGTTGAATAATGACCATTGTCAAAGGAAAAGGTGGCAACTGCAGAGGCCCTTATTCCAGAACAGCTACAATTAGGAGATGTTGAACCTTAGACCATTTCTCTTCTAGATGGGTTGACCATGTATACAGATGGAGGTAAGCAGAGAGGGGTAATATCTGTTTTTATTAATGGTAAATGGACTGACTATTATACCCTGCTGTGGTGAGCCGCTTCTGCCGTTTCTGCAGATTATGGTCGCCATTACAAGATGACGCTGGCTCCGCTGTGGTCTGTGACAAACAACTCCTTATCTGGGAGAGTTGGCACATGATTTTTCACCACCCTGTACACCACCCTGTGAGAAAGCTCCACGCGGCAGCTTTGCATTGGGGCTTGGGATGCTTTATTAAGGCTGGGAGGGGCATCGGAGGGAAAGAAGAAGAAATATCAAGGGCCTGAATAAACTGCTGAAAGAAGATTCCCGAGTTGCGTCTTCCTTGCGGGCAAGGGGTCGCGACAAGTGGTGCCGAAACCCGGGAACCAGAACTTTCAGCAGTCAGGGGTGGTGCACCGGTTAGTCCCAGGTAAGTGGGATCCGCGACCAAAGCGGGGTTAGTCCCAGGTAAGTGGGATCCGCGACCAAAGCGGGGCAGCTCCTCTGTAAAGAAAGAGAGAGCATTACATTTTATTGCAGCTGCACTGTGTACTTTCGCTTTTGTTTTCTGTGTTTCTTTTGTTGTGTCATTTCGTTTTTGTTTTTTGTGCTTCTTTTGTTGTTGTGACGACAGGGACGCTCCCCTGTAAAAGGAAGAGAGCGGGGAATTCATAGAACGGAATGCTCCCCTGTAAAAGGAAGAGAGCGGGGACTTTTGTACTTTCACTTTCTTTATAGCTCTAAAAACATTATGGGTGTTGCTTCTTCAAGCCCAATTTTGTTGGCCCTAGATGGGTTGTTACATTCAAAAGGACTTAAGATAAAGCAGAGTACTTTGCAGATGTTTTTAAGAGAAGCTGATATAGCGGCTCCTTGGTTTGCTTTTTCAGGGAGTCTTACGGTTCCCAGCTGGGACAAATTAGGGAAAGATCTAGATTTTGCTCTTGAGCAAGGCACCTTAGAGGGTGGGGTGATACCCCTTTGGAAAATGGTCCGTGGTTGCCTTACAGATGGTAAATGCCAGGAAGCTGTGAGTGAGGGTCAAGCTATTCTCGAGCAACTGCATGAGGAAAAATCTGAAGGATCATGTAGTGAAGTGGCAGAGAGTATTAAAAGTAACAGTAGTGAGAAGGCAAAAGAGCCTGAAGATAAAAATAGGAGAAGGCTCTACCCAGACTTGACCGAATTAAAAACGCCTGAGAACACAAGCGACTCAGAGAGTTCTGAGGACCTTGATATATTGTTACAACAACTACATAAGATAAAAATGAAAAAGAAGAAAAAGGAGACACAGGGCACGCAGGCCTACTGTAAGAAGGGGAAGGGAGTTAACATTGGTCAACAAAACTCTGAGGAGGAGGAGGTAGAATATCTAGAAGAAGATATGGTGCCGATTGCCCCACCTCCGTATGTGGGGGGGAGCCAAGGTTCCGGGAGATCTTTTCATGCACAAGTTTGGAGGATAGTTAATACAGATATGGGACTTGCATACCCTGTATTTCAGGACAATAACAGGGGAAGATATCATGAGCCTTTAGACTTTAAGATAATTAAAACCTTGGCAGAATCTGTCCGCACTTATGGCATAGATGTCGCTTTCACTCTCACTCAGGTGGAGGGACTTACTAGATTTTGCATGACTCCCTCAGATTGGGCTAGTCTAGTCCGCGCTTGTGTTTCCCCAGGGAAATATTAGGAGTCCAAAGTTGGCTGTTTAATGTTTCTGGCAGTACCCAAGACTCGGAGCGAGGTAGGAGGCTTAATTAAAATTTCTGCAAATAATTCACAATTATCTAATGCTACATTACCCTCCGCAGCAGTCCGTCTCCAATCTCCGTTCCTGTTTCTTTTGGCTAATGTTACATCACAGGGGATGCTTAATTGTTCTAATATTACCTGTTATTTGTCTGAGTGTTGGAATGGCTCCTGGACTACGGCAATGGTTATGAAATTTCCAACCTTTGTCCCGATCCCGGTTACTTCAGATCCAGAGTCATTTCCTATTGTTGAACTGATTAGAGCCCGTAGAGATTTTGGAATTACGGCAGCCATAGTGACAGCTGTGGCGGTATCTGCTGCTGCAGCAGTTACAGCTGGAGTAGCCATGGCCAGCCAGGTACAAACTGCTGCCACTATTAATCAGGTTATTCAACAAACATCCACCATACTTGAATCTCAAAGTAGAATTAATCAACACACTTTATCTGGGATTCTAGCTGCTAATCAAAGGATAGATCTGCTTCAAGCTCAAGTTGAGGAATTGTCTGACCTAGTACATTTGGGTTGTATTGATCAACGTGCACATTTATGTATAACCTCTGTCAGATTTTATGATTCCAGAAATGCCTCCCGCATCATCGGGGAATATTTATCCGGAACCTGGTCCATGGAAGCAGAAAACTTGATCCAGTCTCAACTAACCCAGATAGCTGTCTTGAACAGTACCCGTGTCGATCCCGTGACTTTGGGTCAATTCACCGATTGGATATCTTCTGCTTTTTCCTTCTTCAAAGAGTGGGTGGGAGTAGGCATTTTTGGTGCAATGTGTTGCTTCAGTGTTGTACTCTGTTTGTGGCTTCTCTGTCGCCTTAAAACTCGCCATGCACAAGAAAAGGCTATGATCATACAAGCTCTTGCAGCTTTAGAAAATGGCAACTCGCCTCAAGTCTGGCTTGCGCATCTTAAGCAGTAAACCTTTGTCATGGTCGTTACACCCCAAGTTATTATAACATTGCACTGGGATCGACATGACTTTCCTTGTTATTCTCTTAGTGTTGGAAAGCCCTTGCACTCTGCCGGTCTTACTGCCATTGCACGCAGATGGGTTTCCACACTAGTGCTTTTCTATCGCCTTGAAGTCCGTGCCTTTCTTTCAGGGTGCTGTCAACTTGTTTGTCCTTATAAACAGCCACAGTTCAGCCTCAGCTATCCCCCTTCGTCCACCATCATCACGATACAGGATGCGAGGCAAGGCACTGCACTTGAGTGATCCTTGACGTGGACCTCAAGGAGAGCATGTCCTATTGCATGCGGGTTAGACGCGTCCACGCCCCGCCCCACGAAAAAAGGCGTCGGCTGATATGGCCTCAGGTCTGGGGAAGGCGCCTCCTTAGGACTGAGTCATACTATGCAGCCACTTCTGCACAGTGGGATAGGACCTCTACTCTCGCCTGTATTGTTTTAAGAAAACAGAAAAGGGGGAACTGTGGTGAGCCGCTTCTGCCGTTTCTGCAGATTATGGTCGCCATTACAAGATGACGCTGGCTCCGCTGTGGTCTGTGACAAACAACTCCTTATCTGGGAGAGTTGGCACATGATTTTTCACCACCCTGTACACCACCCTGTGAGAAAGCTCCACGCGGCAGCTTTGCATTGGGGCTTGGGATGCTTTATTAAGGCTGGGAGGGGCATCGGAGGGAAAGAAGAAGAAATATCAAGGGCCTGAATAAACTGCTGAAAGAAGATTCCCGAGTTGCGTCTTCCTTGCGGGCAAGGGGTCGCGACACCCTGCCTCAAATCTTTCCACAGGGATCTGAATTAGCTGGCACTAAAGTTATTTTCTACTATTTTAAACATTATTACAAATTCTTAATATATAGCTAACTTGTTGCTTATATTTCTGTAGCTGTGTTATCCCTACATTTGCATTCCAATTTACTATCTCTTTCTTTAATCCTTCAAACTTTTTTACAGCATTGCGTGTACCCTAATTTTAATGTTTATATACACAGCCACACAGAGGCCCTGAACCTCTAATGAAAGGCAAAGCTCATGCAGATGCAACTGTGAGATCCCTTTATCCTTTATTTTCAGACGCTGTAGAAGCTCATGGATTTTTTCATCAAAACACTCACTCACTAATAAAAATGTTTTCCATTTATTCTCAACAGGCTCATGCCACTGTCAATAACTATTCTCAATGTACATCTTTCCAGGCCCCTATGTGTGAATTTGTAAACACATGGGGTCTACATTCTAATAATGCACTTTGGCAAATGAATGTTACTCATTTTCCTCCTTCTATCTTCACTCCATTCTCATTTTCCATTGCTACTCATTCTGTGTGTATTTGGGCTAGTGCCCATAGTTCTGAAAAGGTATCTGATTGAACTTCTCATTTATTACTCTACTTTGCCATTATGGGCAAGCCTGCTGGTTTAAAAATGTACATGCTTCTGCATATACATCCCATCTTTTTGCATGATTTTCTACTTAATGGAATATAATTTTAATGCATGGAATTCCTCATAATACTACCAGACCAGACTTTGTTGAAAAAACACATTGTACCTTTAAGACATGCCTCATAAAATAAAAACAAGGAAGAGGACCTAGCCTCTCTCATGTTAAATGCCTTAAATATTACTTTATTTACAGTTAATGCACTCAACATAAATTACGAAGAGAAGACTCACAATTGGTCATCTGACTTGGATAGACATTTTATTCCCAAACAACCATTACCAAAAAATTCACGTAAAATACAAGGTTCCACCAGACCCAGGATGGTGGGACCCTGTGCCTCTGATCACATGGGGAAAAGGATATGCTGCTGTGCTTACACCAACAGGTCCTGTATGCATTCCTGCTTGGTGCATGAGATCTGTCAATCATGATTTGGCATCAAGGACTTCATAATCTAATACCCAAGTTTCATTTGACCCTGGATGAGGAAGAGTCTGCCAAACAAAAAGACAATCATTATCCTCAAAAGAGAAGAAACACAATACTCAGGAAACAGAGGGCACGGGGAGGTGGGTGTTCCCTGTCCTCCTTGGGCATCTTCCCACAGCCAGGAGAACCGGAGGCAACCTTTCAATCCTTCCGTGGAAACACGACATGCCATGCATATGCAAGGAGACAAAAGAGAGAGATGCCCATGAAAAAACCCATGACTGGACTACTCCGAAGCCTGCTGCTCCTCAGTAAACACTCAATAGGGACTGCAGCCTTTTCAGTTGCCTACGCCATGCCGGTCTTAGCGCAGTTCCCATGTGGCTCTTAAGCTGCCCAAGAAACACTTCCAGAAGCCACAGGAAACCCATCTGAGGCTCTCCGGCCCAAACTCTATGACCCAATCTGACCCTGACAACTTCCCTCCACAGGAAGTCAGAGCATGGAAGGATGAACTTGAGACAGTACATCATCTGGAAACCTCCTGCCTTTCTGAGCCATTGCCACATGCATCTCAGAGCCCCACATGATATAGATTCCAACAGGAGCCCTGGCTCCCCCATTATGCTCCACTGGCTGACTGCACAACTTGTGCAGGAGAGGAGACCCTCAATGCCTGTCCAGCGACTATGAAAGGCACTTGGCAAACTGCTGAATTTCATCACTCTCTACTTCCTTCAGGCACAGGCAACAATCTTTATGAACTACCTTGGACCCAGTTAGGCCTTTCCACTCCCCAAACCATTCACGGTTGTCCTATGCTCAAAAACTAGAAGCTGACGGCTTGGGTTCACATGCGCCTCCTACAAAAGAAGTCATCCCTGAGGTCTGCCACCACATTGGCTCATTCGGGATACAAACTGCGTCTATGCTCTTTCAGAATGCACATCAACCACCATGCATGCAGCCTAACGGAAGGACCAAAAGCACACAACGATACTAAGGCACTTAGTACTACTGAAGCACTTCTGATGCCCCAACTCGAGAGCCAACCATCTATCAGGAGGATCCATTCCCAGAAGTGGCAACAAAAGGCACCGCTTGTGGTAAGACCCAGTTTCTCCATTTGCATTCCCTCAAATGTCCATCTACTCATCCAGGCACTGGTCCCTCTGAAGACCCACCGGTCCTTCCCCTGCTAGACAATAGCTCTTAAAACGTTGTGCGAAAATACCACTAGCACAACTGTAGCATTTCCAGGAAAAGGGAAAACCTATCAGACTCCCGTAAACACCACGCCCCTGTACACTAAAAAAGGGTCTTGCCATGCTTTGCGCTCATCCTTCCTCTGCTGTCTGCTCAACGGGGACCAGAGTGTCTCTGTAAGAACCCGCAGACCAGCATGGTGCTACGTGCATGGGCAAAACAACTCCAGTACACAAGAGGAGGAAACTTATTCTTATGCTGCCATGGACCAAAACCTCCTAGATAGGGCGAACCCTACTGCCAAACATGCACTAGGAAATCATTGTGTGCAGGCCACTGTCTTACTCAACATCCTGAGCCCTGGATCACCCATGCATGCAGAAACCAAACGAGGACTGACAACAGAGAACTACAGGCTGGAAGCCCTAATACCAAGTGAACTAGGCTGAAAAGGATCCATAAACACAGCCCCGATCAGGAAAGGGGCACAGGATTCTCCCTTCCACCACCCGCCTCACTGCTGCCTGCTATGTCTATGTGATGGACCTCAGATTCGATGAGAATAATGTATAGATTTTCAACTCATTTTGTTCAGCTTCCAAAGAATGTTTTTGTGAAAGTCATCATCAATCCACGCTTATGACCCTCACCTGGAAAGGAGCAACCTCGAGGACTATAGCAGAGGAGACGCTTACCATCGGAAGCCATGCAGGGCGACACACAGGAAACAGAGGGCATGGGGATGCAGGTGTTCCCCGTCCTCCTTGGGCATGTTCACATGGACAGGGGAACCGGCCAGAACCTTTCAATGCGTCTGTAGAAACATGACCTGCCAAACATATGGAAGGAGACAGAAGAGAGAGATGTGCGTGAAAAAAGCCACGACTGGCCTGCTCCGCAGCCTGCTGCTCCTCAGTACACACTGCAGCCTTTTCAGTTGCCTACGCCATGCCTGCCTTAGCTCAGTTCCCATGTGGCTCTTAAGCTGCCCAAGAAACTCTTCCAGCCACAGGAAATCCACCTGAGAATCTCCATCCAACTCTACAACCCAATCTGACCCTGACACCTTCCCTCCACAGGATGTCCAAGCATGGAAGGACGAACTTGAGAAAGTACGTCCTCTAGAAACATCCTGCATTTCTGAGCCATCGCCACATGCATCTCAGAGCCGCACTTGACGTAGATTCCAATAGGAGCCCCAGCTGCCCCGATACGCTCCACTGGTAGAACCCAACAACTTGTGCAGGAGAGGAGACCCTCAACACCAGTCCTGCGCCTATGAAAAGTTCTTGGCAAAGAGGTGAATTTCATCATACTCTACTTCCTTGAGACACAGGCAACAATCCTTACGCACTACTTTGGCACTCAGGTAGACCTTTCACTACCCAAACCATAACGGCTGTCCTAATCTCAACAACTAGAAGTTTACTTCTCGGGTTCACATGCGCCTCCTACAAAAGAAGTCATCCCTGAGGTCTGCCACCACATTGGTTCATTCGGGATCCAAACTGCATATATGCTCTTCCAGAATGCACATCAACGACATTGCATGCAGCCTCACGAGCGGACGAAAAGCACACAATGATGCTCAGGCTTTTTCCTGAAGCACTTCTTTTTTTTCATTAGTTGTTCAAAGACATTACAATGATCTTGACATATCATACATTTGATTCAAGTGGGGTATGAATTCTTTTTTTCCATGTGTACAGATTGCAGTATCACAGTGGTTTTACAGCCACGTTTATACATACAGCCATATTAGTGTCTATTGTATTCTGCTACTCTTCCTATTCCTCCCTTCCCTCCATTCCCCTCCCATCACCTCTCTCTACCCACTCTATGACACTTTTCTCTCTCTCTCTCTCTCTCTCTCTCTCTCTTTTTCTTCCTCACACCATCTTATATGTAATTTTGCATAACAGTGGGGGTCTCCTTCCATCTTCCGTGCGATTCCCCTTCTCTCTCCCATTCCCATGCATCTCTCATCCCTATTTAAGGGTAATCTTCTTCTCATACTCTTCCTCCCTGCTCTGTTTTGGGTCCCCCCCCCCCTTATATCAAAGAAGACATTTGGCACTTGCTCCTTAGGGATTGGCTAGCTTTACTCAGCATAATCTGCTCTAATGCCAAACATTTCCCTGAAAATGCCACGATTTTGTTATTTTTTAGTGCTAAATAATATTCCATTGTGTATAAATTCCACATTTTTTTTATCCATTCATCTATTGAAGGGCATCTGGGTTGGTTCCACAGTCTAGCTATTGTGAATTGTGCTGCTATGAACATTGATGTAGCTGTGTCCCTGTAATATGCTCTTTAAAGGTCTTTTGGGAATAGTCCGAGAAGGGGAGTATCTGGGTCAAATGGTGGTTCCATTCCCAGCTTTCCAAGGAATCTCCATACTGCTTTCAAATTGGCTGCACCAATTTTCAGTCCCACCAGCAATGCACAAGTGTACCCTTTTCTCCACATCCTCGCTAGCACTTATTATTGTTTGACTTCATAAGGTCTACCACTCTTGCTGGAGTGAGATGGTTTCTTAGAGTTGTTTTAATTTGCATTTCTCTGATTGCTAGAGATGGTGAGCATTTTTTCGTGTATTTCTTGATTGTATATCCTCCTCTGAGAAGTGTCTGTTCAGATCTTTGGCACATTTATTGATTACGTTATTTGTTTTCTTGTTGTTTAATTTTTTGAGTTCTTTGTATACTCTGGAGATTAAAGCTCTATCTGAATTGTGAGGGATAAATATATGTTCCCAGGATGTAGGCTCCCTATTTACCTCTCTTATTGTTTCTCTTGCTGAGAAAAAACTTTTTAGTTTTAGTATGTCCCATTTGTTGATTCTTGATTTTAACTCTTGTGCTATAGGTGTCCTATTAAGGAATTTGGAGCCTGACCACACAAGATGGAGATTAGAGCCAACTTTTTCTTCTATCAGATGCAGAGTTTCTGGTTTCATCCCTAGATCCTTGATACATTTTGAGTTAATTTTTGTGCATGGGGAGAGAAAGGGATTCGAAAGAAATTAAAGGCATAACGATAGGAAAATAAGAACTTACATTAGCACTATTTGCGAAAGACATGATAATATAACTAGAGGATCCAAAAGGTTCTACCAAGAAACTTCTAGAGCTAGTAAATGAATTTAGCAAAGAGGCAGGATATAAAAACAACACGCATAAATCAAAGGTGTTCCTGTATATCAGTGGCAAATCCTCTGAAATGGAAATGAGAACAACCACCTCAGTCAAAATATCCTCCAAAAAAAAAAATACTTGGGAATTATGCTAACAAAAGAGGTGAAAGAACTATACAAAGAAAACTCCAAAACACTAAAGAGAGGTAGAAACATTTCCAGCCACAGGAAACCCATCTAGAATCTCCATCCAACTCTACAACCCCATCTGACCCTGACACCTTCCGTGCACAGGATGGCCAAGCATGGAAGGACGAACTTGAGAAAGTACGTCCTCTGGAAACCTCCTGCCTTTCTGGGCCATTGCCACGGGCATCTCGGAGCCCCACGTGACATAGACACCAACAGGAGCCCCAGCCCCACCCTGAAGCTCCAATGCCTGAACCCCACAACTTGTGCAGGAGAGGAGACCCTCAACGCCTGTCCAGCGCCCATGAAAGGCACTGGCAAACTGCTGAATTTCATCACTCACTACTTCCTTCAGGCACAGGCAACAATCCTTACGCACTACTTTGGACCCAGTTAGGCCTTTCCACTCCCCAAACCATTCACGGCTGTCCTATGCTCAAAAACCACAAGCTGAGGTCTCGGGTTCACATGCGCCTCCTACCAGAGAAGTCATCCCTGAGGTCTGCCACCACATTGGCTCATTCGGGATCCAAACTGCGTCTGTGCTCTTTCAGAAAGCACATCAACCACCATGCATGCAGCCTCACGGGCGGACCAAAAGCACACAAAGATACTAGGGCTTTTTCCTGAAGCACTTCTGACGCCCCAACTCGAGAGCCAACCATCTATCAGGAGGACCCATTCCCAGAAGTGGCAGCCAAAGGCCCCGCTTGGTGGTAAGACCCAGTTTCTCCATTTGCATTCCCTCAAATGTCCATCTACTCATCCAGGCACTGGTCCCTCTGGAGACCCACCCTTCCTTCCCCTGGTGGACCATGGCTCCTGCCAACATTGTGTGCCAATACCACTGACAACACTGTAGCATTTCCAGGAAAAGAGAAAACCCACCAGACTCCCGGAAACACCACGCCCCTGTGCACTAAAGAAGGGTCTCCCATGCTTTGCGCTGGGCCTGCCTCCGCCTTCCGCTGAAAGAGGACCTCAATTTTCTCTGGAACACCCAGCAGACCAGCATGGTTCTACTCGCCCTGGCAAAATCGTCTCCAGGCCACAAGAGGAGGAAACTTACTCTCCTGTGCCATGGCCCACAACCTCCTAGTACCTCTGAACCCTACTGCCGAACACCCACTAGGAAATCATCCCGGGCAGGCCAATGTCTTCCTCAACGTCTTGAGCTCTGGATCACCCATGCATGCCGAAACCAAATCAGGACTGACACTCAGAGGACTACAGGCTCGGAGTCCTAACGCCAAGTGAACTCGGCTGAAAAGGGCCTTCCCTTCCAGGGTCCATTCCCACACAGCCCCCGTCGGGAAAGGGCCACAGGGTTCTCCCCTCCACCACCCAACTCACTGCAGCCCCCTACGTCTACGTGGTGGACCTCAGTTTCGATGAGAACGACGGTATAGAGTTTTCACTCATTTTGTTCAGCTTCCAAGGAATGTTTTTGTGGGAGTCATCATCGATCCACGCTTGTGACCCTCACCTGGCAAGGACCAACCTCGGTGACTTGGGGCAAGGAGACGCTTACCATCGTCAGCTATGAAGGGCCACACTCAGGAAACAGAGGGCACGGGCATGCGGGTGTTCCCCGTCCTCCCTGGGCATCTTCCCACAGCCACAGCAGCCGGCGGCAACCTTTCCATGCTTCCGTGGAAACACGACCTGCCATGCGAATGCAAGGAGACAAAACAGAGGGATGCCCATGAAGAATAACCAAGACTGGCCTGCTCCGCAGCCTGCTGCTCCTCAGTACACGCTCGTTAGGGAATGCAGACTTTTCACTTGCCTGCGCCATGCCGGCCTTAGCTCAGGTCCCATGTGGCTCTTAAGGTGACCAAGAAACACTTCCAGCCACAGGAAACCCATCTAGAATCTCCATCCAACTCTACAACCCCATCTGACCCTGACACCTTCCCTGCACAGGATGGCCAAGCATGGAAGGACGAACTTGAGAATGTACGTCCTCTGGAAACCTCCTGCCTTTCTGGGCCATTGCCACGGGCATCTCGGAGCCCCACGTGACATAGACTCCAACAGGAGCCCCAGCCCCACCCTGAAGGTCCAATGCCTGAACCCCACAACTTGTGCAGGAGAGGAGACCCTCAACGCCTCTCCAGCGCCTATGAAAGGCACTTGGCAAACTGCTGAATTTCATCACTCTCTACTTCCTTCAGGCACAGGCAACAATCCTTACGCACTTCTTTGGACCCAGTTAGGCCTTTCCACTCCCCAAACCATTCACGGCTGTCCTAGGCTCAATAACTACAAGCTGAGGTCTCGGGTTCACATGCGCCTCCTACCAGAGAAGTCATCCCTGAGGTCTGCCACCACATTGGCTCATTCGGGATCCAAACTGCGTCTGTGCTCTTTCACAAAGCACATCAACCACCATGCATGCAGCCTCACGGGCGGACCAAAAGCACACAACGATACTAAGGCTTTTTCCTGAAGCACTTCTGACGCCCCAACTCGAGAGCCAACCATCTATCAGGAGGACCCATTCCCAGAAGTGGCAGCCAAAGGCCCCGCTTGGTGGTAAGACCCAGTTTCTCCATTTGCATTCCCTCAAATGTCCATCTACTCATCCAGGCACTGGTCCCTCTGGAGACCCACCCTTCCTTCCCCTGGTGGACCATGGCTCCTGCCAACATTGTGTGCCAATACCACTGACAACACTGTAGCATTTCCAGGAAAAGAGAAAACCCACCAGACTCCCGGAAACACCACGCCCCTGTGCACTAAAGAAGGGTCTCCCATGCTTTGCGCTGGGCCTGCCTCCGCCTTCCGCTGAAAGAGGACCTCAATTTTCTCTGGAACACCCAGCAGACCAGCATGGTTCTACTCGCCCTGGCAAAATCGTCTCCAGGCCACAAGAGGAGGAAACTTACTCTCCTGTGCCATGGCCCACAACCTCCTAGTACCTCTGAACCCTACTGCCGAACACCCACTAGGAAATCATCCCGGGCAGGCCAATGTCTTCCTCAACGTCTTGAGCTCTGGATCACCCATGCATGCCGAAACCAAATCAGGACTGACACTCAGAGGACTACAGGCTCGGAGTCCTAACGCCAAGTGAACTCGGCTGAAAAGGGCCTTCCCTTCCAGGGTCCATTCCCACACAGCCCCCGTCGGGAAAGGGCCACAGGGTTCTCCCCTCCACCACCCAACTCACTGCAGCCCCCTACGTCTACGTGGTGGACCTCAGTTTCGATGAGAACGACGGTATAGAGTTTTCACTCATTTTGTTCAGCTTCCAAGGAATGTTTTTGTGGGAGTCATCATCGATCCACGCTTGTGACCCTCACCTGGCAAGGACCAACCTCGGTGACTTGGGGCAAGGAGACGCTTACCATCGTCAGCTATGAAGGGCCACACTCAGGAAACAGAGGGCACGGGCATGCGGGTGTTCCCCGTCCTCCCTGGGCATCTTCCCACAGCCACAGGAGCCGGCGGCAACCTTTCCATGCTTCCGTGGAAACACGACCTGCCATGCGAATGCAAGGAGACAAAACAGAGGGATGCCCATGAAGAATAACCAAGACTGGCCTGCTCCGCAGCCTGCTGCTCCTCAGTACACGCTCGTTAGGGAATGCAGACTTTTCACTTGCCTGCGCCATGCCGGCCTTAGCTCAGGTCCCATGTGGCTCTTAAGGTGACCAAGAAACACTTCCAGCCACAGGAAACCCATCTAGAATCTCCATCCAACTCTACAACCCCATCTGACCCTGACACCTTCCCTGCACAGGATGGCCAAGCATGGAAGGACGAACTTGAGAATGTACGTCCTCTGGAAACCTCCTGCCTTTCTGGGCCATTGCCACGGGCATCTCGGAGCCCCACGTGACATAGACTCCAACAGGAGCCCCAGCCCCACCCTGAAGGTCCAATGCCTGAACCCCACAACTTGTGCAGGAGAGGAGACCCTCAACGCCTCTCCAGCGCCTATGAAAGGCACTTGGCAAACTGCTGAATTTCATCACTCTCTACTTCCTTCAGGCACAGGCAACAATCCTTACGCACTTCTTTGGACCCAGTTAGGCCTTTCCACTCCCCAAACCATTCACGGCTGTCCTAGGCTCAATAACTACAAGCTGAGGTCTCGGGTTCACATGCGCCTCCTACCAGAGAAGTCATCCCTGAGGTCTGCCACCACATTGGCTCATTCGGGATCCAAACTGCGTCTGTGCTCTTTCACAAAGCACATCAACCACCATGCATGCAGCCTCACGGGCGGACCAAAAGCACACAACGATACTAAGGCTTTTTCCTGAAGCACTTCTGACGCCCCAACTCGAGAACCAACCATCTATCAGGAGGACCCATTCCCAGAAGTGGCAGCCAAAGGCCCCGCTTGGTGGTAAGACCCAGTTTCTCCATTTGCATTCCCTCAAATGTCCATCTACTCATCCAGGCACTGGTCCCTCTGGAGACCCACCCTTCCTTCCCCTGGTGGACCATGGCTCCTGCCAACATTGTGTGCCAATACCACTGACAACACTGTAGCATTTCCAGGAAAAGAGAAAACCCACCAGACTCCCGGAAACACCACGCCCCTGTGCACTAAAGAAGGGTCTCCCATGCTTTGCGCTGGGCCTGCCTCCGCCTTCCGCTGAAAGAGGACCTCAATTTTCTCTGGAACACCCAGCAGACCAGCATGGTTCTACTCGCCCTGGCAAAATCGTCTCCAGGCCACAAGAGGAGGAAACTTACTCTCCTGTGCCATGGCCCACAACCTCCTAGTACCTCTGAACCCTACTGCCGAACACCCACTAGGAAATCATCCCGGGCAGGCCAATGTCTTCCTCAACGTCTTGAGCTCTGGATCACCCATGCATGCCGAAACCAAATCAGGACTGACACTCAGAGGACTACAGGCTCGGAGTCCTAACGCCAAGTGAACTCGGCTGAAAAGGGCCTTCCCTTCCAGGGTCCATTCCCACACAGCCCCCGTCGGGAAAGGGCCACAGGGTTCTCCCCTCCACCACCCAACTCACTGCAGCCCCCTACGTCTACGTGGTGGACCTCAGTTTCGATGAGAACGACGGTATAGAGTTTTCACTCATTTTGTTCAGCTTCCAAGGAATGTTTTTGTGGGAGTCATCATCGATCCACGCTTGTGACCCTCACCTGGCAAGGACCAACCTCGGTGACTTGGGGCAAGGAGACGCTTACCATCGTCAGCTATGAAGGGCCACACTCAGGAAACAGAGGGCACGGGCATGCGGGTGTTCCCCGTCCTCCCTGGGCATCTTCCCACAGCCACAGGAGCCGGCGGCAACCTTTCCATGCTTCCGTGGAAACACGACCTGCCATGCGAATGCAAGGAGACAAAACAGAGGGATGCCCATGAAGAATAACCAAGACTGGCCTGCTCCGCAGCCTGCTGCTCCTCAGTACACGCTCGTTAGGGAATGCAGACTTTTCACTTGCCTGCGCCATGCCGGCCTTAGCTCAGGTCCCATGTGGCTCTTAAGGTGACCAAGAAACACTTCCAGCCACAGGAAACCCATCTAGAATCTCCATCCAACTCTACAACCCCATCTGACCCTGACACCTTCCCTGCACAGGATGGCCAAGCATGGAAGGACGAACTTGAGAATGTACGTCCTCTGGAAACCTCCTGCCTTTCTGGGCCATTGCCACGGGCATCTCGGAGCCCCACGTGACATAGACTCCAACAGGAGCCCCAGCCCCACCCTGAAGGTCCAATGCCTGAACCCCACAACTTGTGCAGGAGAGGAGACCCTCAACGCCTCTCCAGCGCCTATGAAAGGCACTTGGCAAACTGCTGAATTTCATCACTCTCTACTTCCTTCAGGCACAGGCAACAATCCTTACGCACTTCTTTGGACCCAGTTAGGCCTTTCCACTCCCCAAACCATTCACGGCTGTCCTAGGCTCAATAACTACAAGCTGAGGTCTCGGGTTCACATGCGCCTCCTACCAGAGAAGTCATCCCTGAGGTCTGCCACCACATTGGCTCATTCGGGATCCAAACTGCGTCTGTGCTCTTTCACAAAGCACATCAACCACCATGCATGCAGCCTCACGGGCGGACCAAAAGCACACAACGATACTAAGGCTTTTTCCTGAAGCACTTCTGACGCCCCAACTCGAGAACCAACCATCTATCAGGAGGACCCATTCCCAGAAGTGGCAGCCAAAGGCCCCGCTTGGTGGTAAGACCCAGTTTCTCCATTTGCATTCCCTCAAATGTCCATCTACTCATCCAGGCACTGGTCCCTCTGGAGACCCACCCTTCCTTCCCCTGGTGGACCATGGCTCCTGCCAACATTGTGTGCCAATACCACTGACAACACTGTAGCATTTCCAGGAAAAGAGAAAACCCACCAGACTCCCGGAAACACCACGCCCCTGTGCACTAAAGAAGGGTCTCCCATGCTTTGCGCTGGGCCTGCCTCCGCCTTCCGCTGAAAGAGGACCTCAATTTTCTCTGGAACACCCAGCAGACCAGCATGGTTCTACTCGCCCTGGCAAAATCGTCTCCAGGCCACAAGAGGAGGAAACTTACTCTCCTGTGCCATGGCCCACAACCTCCTAGTACCTCTGAACCCTACTGCCGAACACCCACTAGGAAATCATCCCGGGCAGGCCAATGTCTTCCTCAACGTCTTGAGCTCTGGATCACCCATGCATGCCGAAACCAAATCAGGACTGACACTCAGAGGACTACAGGCTCGGAGTCCTAACGCCAAGTGAACTCGGCTGAAAAGGGCCTTCCCTTCCAGGGTCCATTCCCACACAGCCCCCGTCGGGAAAGGGCCACAGGGTTCTCCCCTCCACCACCCAACTCACTGCAGCCCCCTACGTCTACGTGGTGGACCTCAGTTTCGATGAGAACGACGGTATAGAGTTTTCACTCATTTTGTTCAGCTTCCAAGGAATGTTTTTGTGGGAGTCATCATCGATCCACGCTTGTGACCCTCACCTGGCAAGGACCAACCTCGGTGACTTGGGGCAAGGAGACGCTTACCATCGTCAGCTATGAAGGGCCACACTCAGGAAACAGAGGGCACGGGCATGCGGGTGTTCCCCGTCCTCCCTGGGCATCTTCCCACAGCCACAGGAGCCGGCGGCAACCTTTCCATGCTTCCGTGGAAACACGACCTGCCATGCGAATGCAAGGAGACAAAACAGAGGGATGCCCATGAAGAATAACCAAGACTGGCCTGCTCCGCAGCCTGCTGCTCCTCAGTACACGCTCGTTAGGGAATGCAGACTTTTCACTTGCCTGCGCCATGCCGGCCTTAGCTCAGGTCCCATGTGGCTCTTAAGGTGACCAAGAAACACTTCCAGCCACAGGAAACCCATCTAGAATCTCCATCCAACTCTACAACCCCATCTGACCCTGACACCTTCCCTGCACAGGATGGCCAAGCATGGAAGGACGAACTTGAGAATGTACGTCCTCTGGAAACCTCCTGCCTTTCTGGGCCATTGCCACGGGCATCTCGGAGCCCCACGTGACATAGACTCCAACAGGAGCCCCAGCCCCACCCTGAAGGTCCAATGCCTGAACCCCACAACTTGTGCAGGAGAGGAGACCCTCAACGCCTCTCCAGCGCCTATGAAAGGCACTTGGCAAACTGCTGAATTTCATCACTCTCTACTTCCTTCAGGCACAGGCAACAATCCTTACGCACTTCTTTGGACCCAGTTAGGCCTTTCCACTCCCCAAACCATTCACGGCTGTCCTAGGCTCAATAACTACAAGCTGAGGTCTCGGGTTCACATGCGCCTCCTACCAGAGAAGTCATCCCTGAGGTCTGCCACCACATTGGCTCATTCGGGATCCAAACTGCGTCTGTGCTCTTTCACAAAGCACATCAACCACCATGCATGCAGCCTCACGGGCGGACCAAAAGCACACAACGATACTAAGGCTTTTTCCTGAAGCACTTCTGACGCCCCAACTCGAGAGCCAACCATCTATCAGGAGGACCCATTCCCAGAAGTGGCAGCCAAAGGCCCCGCTTGGTGGTAAGACCCAGTTTCTCCATTTGCATTCCCTCAAATGTCCATCTACTCATCCAGGCACTGGTCCCTCTGGAGACCCACCCTTCCTTCCCCTGGTGGACCATGGCTCCTGCCAACATTGTGTGCCAATACCACTGACAACACTGTAGCATTTCCAGGAAAAGAGAAAACCCACCAGACTCCCGGAAACACCACGCCCCTGTGCACTAAAGAAGGGTCTCCCATGCTTTGCGCTGGGCCTGCCTCCGCCTTCCGCTGAAAGAGGACCTCAATTTTCTCTGGAACACCCAGCAGACCAGCATGGTTCTACTCGCCCTGGCAAAATCGTCTCCAGGCCACAAGAGGAGGAAACTTACTCTCCTGTGCCATGGCCCACAACCTCCTAGTACCTCTGAACCCTACTGCCGAACACCCACTAGGAAATCATCCCGGGCAGGCCAATGTCTTCCTCAACGTCTTGAGCTCTGGATCACCCATGCATGCCGAAACCAAATCAGGACTGACACTCAGAGGACTACAGGCTCGGAGTCCTAACGCCAAGTGAACTCGGCTGAAAAGGGCCTTCCCTTCCAGGGTCCATTCCCACACAGCCCCCGTCGGGAAAGGGCCACAGGGTTCTCCCCTCCACCACCCAACTCACTGCAGCCCCCTACGTCTACGTGGTGGACCTCAGTTTCGATGAGAACGACGGTATAGAGTTTTCACTCATTTTGTTCAGCTTCCAAGGAATGTTTTTGTGGGAGTCATCATCGATCCACGCTTGTGACCCTCACCTGGCAAGGACCAACCTCGGTGACTTGGGGCAAGGAGACGCTTACCATCGTCAGCTATGAAGGGCCACACTCAGGAAACAGAGGGCACGGGCATGCGGGTGTTCCCCGTCCTCCCTGGGCATCTTCCCACAGCCACAGGAGCCGGCGGCAACCTTTCCATGCTTCCGTGGAAACACGACCTGCCATGCGAATGCAAGGAGACAAAACAGAGGGATGCCCATGAAGAATAACCAAGACTGGCCTGCTCCGCAGCCTGCTGCTCCTCAGTACACGCTCGTTAGGGAATGCAGACTTTTCACTTGCCTGCGCCATGCCGGCCTTAGCTCAGGTCCCATGTGGCTCTTAAGGTGACCAAGAAACACTTCCAGCCACAGGAAACCCATCTAGAATCTCCATCCAACTCTACAACCCCATCTGACCCTGACACCTTCCCTGCACAGGATGGCCAAGCATGGAAGGACGAACTTGAGAATGTACGTCCTCTGGAAACCTCCTGCCTTTCTGGGCCATTGCCACGGGCATCTCGGAGCCCCACGTGACATAGACTCCAACAGGAGCCCCAGCCCCACCCTGAAGGTCCAATGCCTGAACCCCACAACTTGTGCAGGAGAGGAGACCCTCAACGCCTCTCCAGCGCCTATGAAAGGCACTTGGCAAACTGCTGAATTTCATCACTCTCTACTTCCTTCAGGCACAGGCAACAATCCTTACGCACTTCTTTGGACCCAGTTAGGCCTTTCCACTCCCCAAACCATTCACGGCTGTCCTAGGCTCAATAACTACAAGCTGAGGTCTCGGGTTCACATGCGCCTCCTACCAGAGAAGTCATCCCTGAGGTCTGCCACCACATTGGCTCATTCGGGATCCAAACTGCGTCTGTGCTCTTTCACAAAGCACATCAACCACCATGCATGCAGCCTCACGGGCGGACCAAAAGCACACAACGATACTAAGGCTTTTTCCTGAAGCACTTCTGACGCCCCAACTCGAGAGCCAACCATCTATCAGGAGGACCCATTCCCAGAAGTGGCAGCCAAAGGCCCCGCTTGGTGGTAAGACCCAGTTTCTCCATTTGCATTCCCTCAAATGTCCATCTACTCATCCAGGCACTGGTCCCTCTGGAGACCCACCCTTCCTTCCCCTGGTGGACCATGGCTCCTGCCAACATTGTGTGCCAATACCACTGACAACACTGTAGCATTTCCAGGAAAAGAGAAAACCCACCAGACTCCCGGAAACACCACGCCCCTGTGCACTAAAGAAGGGTCTCCCATGCTTTGCGCTGGGCCTGCCTCCGCCTTCCGCTGAAAGAGGACCTCAATTTTCTCTGGAACACCCAGCAGACCAGCATGGTTCTACTCGCCCTGGCAAAATCGTCTCCAGGCCACAAGAGGAGGAAACTTACTCTCCTGTGCCATGGCCCACAACCTCCTAGTACCTCTGAACCCTACTGCCGAACACCCACTAGGAAATCATCCCGGGCAGGCCAATGTCTTCCTCAACGTCTTGAGCTCTGGATCACCCATGCATGCCGAAACCAAATCAGGACTGACACTCAGAGGACTACAGGCTCGGAGTCCTAACGCCAAGTGAACTCGGCTGAAAAGGGCCTTCCCTTCCAGGGTCCATTCCCACACAGCCCCCGTCGGGAAAGGGCCACAGGGTTCTCCCCTCCACCACCCAACTCACTGCAGCCCCCTACGTCTACGTGGTGGACCTCAGTTTCGATGAGAACGACGGTATAGAGTTTTCACTCATTTTGTTCAGCTTCCAAGGAATGTTTTTGTGGGAGTCATCATCGATCCACGCTTGTGACCCTCACCTGGCAAGGACCAACCTCGGTGACTTGGGGCAAGGAGACGCTTACCATCGTCAGCTATGAAGGGCCACACTCAGGAAACAGAGGGCACGGGCATGCGGGTGTTCCCCGTCCTCCCTGGGCATCTTCCCACAGCCACAGGAGCCGGCGGCAACCTTTCCATGCTTCCGTGGAAACACGACCTGCCATGCGAATGCAAGGAGACAAAACAGAGGGATGCCCATGAAGAATAACCAAGACTGGCCTGCTCCGCAGCCTGCTGCTCCTCAGTACACGCTCGTTAGGGAATGCAGACTTTTCACTTGCCTGCGCCATGCCGGCCTTAGCTCAGGTCCCATGTGGCTCTTAAGGTGACCAAGAAACACTTCCAGCCACAGGAAACCCATCTAGAATCTCCATCCAACTCTACAACCCCATCTGACCCTGACACCTTCCCTGCACAGGATGGCCAAGCATGGAAGGACGAACTTGAGAATGTACGTCCTCTGGAAACCTCCTGCCTTTCTGGGCCATTGCCACGGGCATCTCGGAGCCCCACGTGACATAGACTCCAACAGGAGCCCCAGCCCCACCCTGAAGGTCCAATGCCTGAACCCCACAACTTGTGCAGGAGAGGAGACCCTCAACGCCTCTCCAGCGCCTATGAAAGGCACTTGGCAAACTGCTGAATTTCATCACTCTCTACTTCCTTCAGGCACAGGCAACAATCCTTACGCACTTCTTTGGACCCAGTTAGGCCTTTCCACTCCCCAAACCATTCACGGCTGTCCTAGGCTCAATAACTACAAGCTGAGGTCTCGGGTTCACATGCGCCTCCTACCAGAGAAGTCATCCCTGAGGTCTGCCACCACATTGGCTCATTCGGGATCCAAACTGCGTCTGTGCTCTTTCACAAAGCACATCAACCACCATGCATGCAGCCTCACGGGCGGACCAAAAGCACACAACGATACTAAGGCTTTTTCCTGAAGCACTTCTGACGCCCCAACTCGAGAGCCAACCATCTATCAGGAGGACCCATTCCCAGAAGTGGCAGCCAAAGGCCCCGCTTGGTGGTAAGACCCAGTTTCTCCATTTGCATTCCCTCAAATGTCCATCTACTCATCCAGGCACTGGTCCCTCTGGAGACCCACCCTTCCTTCCCCTGGTGGACCATGGCTCCTGCCAACATTGTGTGCCAATACCACTGACAACACTGTAGCATTTCCAGGAAAAGAGAAAACCCACCAGACTCCCGGAAACACCACGCCCCTGTGCACTAAAGAAGGGTCTCCCATGCTTTGCGCTGGGCCTGCCTCCGCCTTCCGCTGAAAGAGGACCTCAATTTTCTCTGGAACACCCAGCAGACCAGCATGGTTCTACTCGCCCTGGCAAAATCGTCTCCAGGCCACAAGAGGAGGAAACTTACTCTCCTGTGCCATGGCCCACAACCTCCTAGTACCTCTGAACCCTACTGCCGAACACCCACTAGGAAATCATCCCGGGCAGGCCAATGTCTTCCTCAACGTCTTGAGCTCTGGATCACCCATGCATGCCGAAACCAAATCAGGACTGACACTCAGAGGACTACAGGCTCGGAGTCCTAACGCCAAGTGAACTCGGCTGAAAAGGGCCTTCCCTTCCAGGGTCCATTCCCACACAGCCCCCGTCGGGAAAGGGCCACAGGGTTCTCCCCTCCACCACCCAACTCACTGCAGCCCCCTACGTCTACGTGGTGGACCTCAGTTTCGATGAGAACGACGGTATAGAGTTTTCACTCATTTTGTTCAGCTTCCAAGGAATGTTTTTGTGGGAGTCATCATCGATCCACGCTTGTGACCCTCACCTGGCAAGGACCAACCTCGGTGACTTGGGGCAAGGAGACGCTTACCATCGTCAGCTATGAAGGGCCACACTCAGGAAACAGAGGGCACGGGCATGCGGGTGTTCCCCGTCCTCCCTGGGCATCTTCCCACAGCCACAGGAGCCGGCGGCAACCTTTCCATGCTTCCGTGGAAACACGACCTGCCATGCGAATGCAAGGAGACAAAACAGAGGGATGCCCATGAAGAATAACCAAGACTGGCCTGCTCCGCAGCCTGCTGCTCCTCAGTACACGCTCGTTAGGGAATGCAGACTTTTCACTTGCCTGCGCCATGCCGGCCTTAGCTCAGGTCCCATGTGGCTCTTAAGGTGACCAAGAAACACTTCCAGCCACAGGAAACCCATCTAGAATCTCCATCCAACTCTACAACCCCATCTGACCCTGACACCTTCCCTGCACAGGATGGCCAAGCATGGAAGGACGAACTTGAGAATGTACGTCCTCTGGAAACCTCCTGCCTTTCTGGGCCATTGCCACGGGCATCTCGGAGCCCCACGTGACATAGACTCCAACAGGAGCCCCAGCCCCACCCTGAAGGTCCAATGCCTGAACCCCACAACTTGTGCAGGAGAGGAGACCCTCAACGCCTCTCCAGCGCCTATGAAAGGCACTTGGCAAACTGCTGAATTTCATCACTCTCTACTTCCTTCAGGCACAGGCAACAATCCTTACGCACTTCTTTGGACCCAGTTAGGCCTTTCCACTCCCCAAACCATTCACGGCTGTCCTAGGCTCAATAACTACAAGCTGAGGTCTCGGGTTCACATGCGCCTCCTACCAGAGAAGTCATCCCTGAGGTCTGCCACCACATTGGCTCATTCGGGATCCAAACTGCGTCTGTGCTCTTTCACAAAGCACATCAACCACCATGCATGCAGCCTCACGGGCGGACCAAAAGCACACAACGATACTAAGGCTTTTTCCTGAAGCACTTCTGACGCCCCAACTCGAGAGCCAACCATCTATCAGGAGGACCCATTCCCAGAAGTGGCAGCCAAAGGCCCCGCTTGGTGGTAAGACCCAGTTTCTCCATTTGCATTCCCTCAAATGTCCATCTACTCATCCAGGCACTGGTCCCTCTGGAGACCCACCCTTCCTTCCCCTGGTGGACCATGGCTCCTGCCAACATTGTGTGCCAATACCACTGACAACACTGTAGCATTTCCAGGAAAAGAGAAAACCCACCAGACTCCCGGAAACACCACGCCCCTGTGCACTAAAGAAGGGTCTCCCATGCTTTGCGCTGGGCCTGCCTCCGCCTTCCGCTGAAAGAGGACCTCAATTTTCTCTGGAACACCCAGCAGACCAGCATGGTTCTACTCGCCCTGGCAAAATCGTCTCCAGGCCACAAGAGGAGGAAACTTACTCTCCTGTGCCATGGCCCACAACCTCCTAGTACCTCTGAACCCTACTGCCGAACACCCACTAGGAAATCATCCCGGGCAGGCCAATGTCTTCCTCAACGTCTTGAGCTCTGGATCACCCATGCATGCCGAAACCAAATCAGGACTGACACTCAGAGGACTACAGGCTCGGAGTCCTAACGCCAAGTGAACTCGGCTGAAAAGGGCCTTCCCTTCCAGGGTCCATTCCCACACAGCCCCCGTCGGGAAAGGGCCACAGGGTTCTCCCCTCCACCACCCAACTCACTGCAGCCCCCTACGTCTACGTGGTGGACCTCAGTTTCGATGAGAACGACGGTATAGAGTTTTCACTCATTTTGTTCAGCTTCCAAGGAATGTTTTTGTGGGAGTCATCATCGATCCACGCTTGTGACCCTCACCTGGCAAGGACCAACCTCGGTGACTTGGGGCAAGGAGACGCTTACCATCGTCAGCTATGAAGGGCCACACTCAGGAAACAGAGGGCACGGGCATGCGGGTGTTCCCCGTCCTCCCTGGGCATCTTCCCACAGCCACAGGAGCCGGCGGCAACCTTTCCATGCTTCCGTGGAAACACGACCTGCCATGCGAATGCAAGGAGACAAAACAGAGGGATGCCCATGAAGAATAACCAAGACTGGCCTGCTCCGCAGCCTGCTGCTCCTCAGTACACGCTCGTTAGGGAATGCAGACTTTTCACTTGCCTGCGCCATGCCGGCCTTAGCTCAGGTCCCATGTGGCTCTTAAGGTGACCAAGAAACACTTCCAGCCACAGGAAACCCATCTAGAATCTCCATCCAACTCTACAACCCCATCTGACCCTGACACCTTCCCTGCACAGGATGGCCAAGCATGGAAGGACGAACTTGAGAATGTACGTCCTCTGGAAACCTCCTGCCTTTCTGGGCCATTGCCACGGGCATCTCGGAGCCCCACGTGACATAGACTCCAACAGGAGCCCCAGCCCCACCCTGAAGGTCCAATGCCTGAACCCCACAACTTGTGCAGGAGAGGAGACCCTCAACGCCTCTCCAGCGCCTATGAAAGGCACTTGGCAAACTGCTGAATTTCATCACTCTCTACTTCCTTCAGGCACAGGCAACAATCCTTACGCACTTCTTTGGACCCAGTTAGGCCTTTCCACTCCCCAAACCATTCACGGCTGTCCTAGGCTCAATAACTACAAGCTGAGGTCTCGGGTTCACATGCGCCTCCTACCAGAGAAGTCATCCCTGAGGTCTGCCACCACATTGGCTCATTCGGGATCCAAACTGCGTCTGTGCTCTTTCACAAAGCACATCAACCACCATGCATGCAGCCTCACGGGCGGACCAAAAGCACACAACGATACTAAGGCTTTTTCCTGAAGCACTTCTGACGCCCCAACTCGAGAGCCAACCATCTATCAGGAGGACCCATTCCCAGAAGTGGCAGCCAAAGGCCCCGCTTGGTGGTAAGACCCAGTTTCTCCATTTGCATTCCCTCAAATGTCCATCTACTCATCCAGGCACTGGTCCCTCTGGAGACCCACCCTTCCTTCCCCTGGTGGACCATGGCTCCTGCCAACATTGTGTGCCAATACCACTGACAACACTGTAGCATTTCCAGGAAAAGAGAAAACCCACCAGACTCCCGGAAACACCACGCCCCTGTGCACTAAAGAAGGGTCTCCCATGCTTTGCGCTGGGCCTGCCTCCGCCTTCCGCTGAAAGAGGACCTCAATTTTCTCTGGAACACCCAGCAGACCAGCATGGTTCTACTCGCCCTGGCAAAATCGTCTCCAGGCCACAAGAGGAGGAAACTTACTCTCCTGTGCCATGGCCCACAACCTCCTAGTACCTCTGAACCCTACTGCCGAACACCCACTAGGAAATCATCCCGGGCAGGCCAATGTCTTCCTCAACGTCTTGAGCTCTGGATCACCCATGCATGCCGAAACCAAATCAGGACTGACACTCAGAGGACTACAGGCTCGGAGTCCTAACGCCAAGTGAACTCGGCTGAAAAGGGCCTTCCCTTCCAGGGTCCATTCCCACACAGCCCCCGTCGGGAAAGGGCCACAGGGTTCTCCCCTCCACCACCCAACTCACTGCAGCCCCCTACGTCTACGTGGTGGACCTCAGTTTCGATGAGAACGACGGTATAGAGTTTTCACTCATTTTGTTCAGCTTCCAAGGAATGTTTTTGTGGGAGTCATCATCGATCCACGCTTGTGACCCTCACCTGGCAAGGACCAACCTCGGTGACTTGGGGCAAGGAGACGCTTACCATCGTCAGCTATGAAGGGCCACACTCAGGAAACAGAGGGCACGGGCATGCGGGTGTTCCCCGTCCTCCCTGGGCATCTTCCCACAGCCACAGGAGCCGGCGGCAACCTTTCCATGCTTCCGTGGAAACACGACCTGCCATGCGAATGCAAGGAGACAAAACAGAGGGATGCCCATGAAGAATAACCAAGACTGGCCTGCTCCGCAGCCTGCTGCTCCTCAGTACACGCTCGTTAGGGAATGCAGACTTTTCACTTGCCTGCGCCATGCCGGCCTTAGCTCAGGTCCCATGTGGCTCTTAAGGTGACCAAGAAACACTTCCAGCCACAGGAAACCCATCTAGAATCTCCATCCAACTCTACAACCCCATCTGACCCTGACACCTTCCCTGCACAGGATGGCCAAGCATGGAAGGACGAACTTGAGAATGTACGTCCTCTGGAAACCTCCTGCCTTTCTGGGCCATTGCCACGGGCATCTCGGAGCCCCACGTGACATAGACTCCAACAGGAGCCCCAGCCCCACCCTGAAGGTCCAATGCCTGAACCCCACAACTTGTGCAGGAGAGGAGACCCTCAACGCCTCTCCAGCGCCTATGAAAGGCACTTGGCAAACTGCTGAATTTCATCACTCTCTACTTCCTTCAGGCACAGGCAACAATCCTTACGCACTTCTTTGGACCCAGTTAGGCCTTTCCACTCCCCAAACCATTCACGGCTGTCCTAGGCTCAATAACTACAAGCTGAGGTCTCGGGTTCACATGCGCCTCCTACCAGAGAAGTCATCCCTGAGGTCTGCCACCACATTGGCTCATTCGGGATCCAAACTGCGTCTGTGCTCTTTCACAAAGCACATCAACCACCATGCATGCAGCCTCACGGGCGGACCAAAAGCACACAACGATACTAAGGCTTTTTCCTGAAGCACTTCTGACGCCCCAACTCGAGAGCCAACCATCTATCAGGAGGACCCATTCCCAGAAGTGGCAGCCAAAGGCCCCGCTTGGTGGTAAGACCCAGTTTCTCCATTTGCATTCCCTCAAATGTCCATCTACTCATCCAGGCACTGGTCCCTCTGGAGACCCACCCTTCCTTCCCCTGGTGGACCATGGCTCCTGCCAACATTGTGTGCCAATACCACTGACAACACTGTAGCATTTCCAGGAAAAGAGAAAACCCACCAGACTCCCGGAAACACCACGCCCCTGTGCACTAAAGAAGGGTCTCCCATGCTTTGCGCTGGGCCTGCCTCCGCCTTCCGCTGAAAGAGGACCTCAATTTTCTCTGGAACACCCAGCAGACCAGCATGGTTCTACTCGCCCTGGCAAAATCGTCTCCAGGCCACAAGAGGAGGAAACTTACTCTCCTGTGCCATGGCCCACAACCTCCTAGTACCTCTGAACCCTACTGCCGAACACCCACTAGGAAATCATCCCGGGCAGGCCAATGTCTTCCTCAACGTCTTGAGCTCTGGATCACCCATGCATGCCGAAACCAAATCAGGACTGACACTCAGAGGACTACAGGCTCGGAGTCCTAACGCCAAGTGAACTCGGCTGAAAAGGGCCTTCCCTTCCAGGGTCCATTCCCACACAGCCCCCGTCGGGAAAGGGCCACAGGGTTCTCCCCTCCACCACCCAACTCACTGCAGCCCCCTACGTCTACGTGGTGGACCTCAGTTTCGATGAGAACGACGGTATAGAGTTTTCACTCATTTTGTTCAGCTTCCAAGGAATGTTTTTGTGGGAGTCATCATCGATCCACGCTTGTGACCCTCACCTGGCAAGGACCAACCTCGGTGACTTGGGGCAAGGAGACGCTTACCATCGTCAGCTATGAAGGGCCACACTCAGGAAACAGAGGGCACGGGCATGCGGGTGTTCCCCGTCCTCCCTGGGCATCTTCCCACAGCCACAGGAGCCGGCGGCAACCTTTCCATGCTTCCGTGGAAACACGACCTGCCATGCGAATGCAAGGAGACAAAACAGAGGGATGCCCATGAAGAATAACCAAGACTGGCCTGCTCCGCAGCCTGCTGCTCCTCAGTACACGCTCGTTAGGGAATGCAGACTTTTCACTTGCCTGCGCCATGCCGGCCTTAGCTCAGGTCCCATGTGGCTCTTAAGGTGACCAAGAAACACTTCCAGCCACAGGAAACCCATCTAGAATCTCCATCCAACTCTACAACCCCATCTGACCCTGACACCTTCCCTGCACAGGATGGCCAAGCATGGAAGGACGAACTTGAGAATGTACGTCCTCTGGAAACCTCCTGCCTTTCTGGGCCATTGCCACGGGCATCTCGGAGCCCCACGTGACATAGACTCCAACAGGAGCCCCAGCCCCACCCTGAAGGTCCAATGCCTGAACCCCACAACTTGTGCAGGAGAGGAGACCCTCAACGCCTCTCCAGCGCCTATGAAAGGCACTTGGCAAACTGCTGAATTTCATCACTCTCTACTTCCTTCAGGCACAGGCAACAATCCTTACGCACTTCTTTGGACCCAGTTAGGCCTTTCCACTCCCCAAACCATTCACGGCTGTCCTAGGCTCAATAACTACAAGCTGAGGTCTCGGGTTCACATGCGCCTCCTACCAGAGAAGTCATCCCTGAGGTCTGCCACCACATTGGCTCATTCGGGATCCAAACTGCGTCTGTGCTCTTTCACAAAGCACATCAACCACCATGCATGCAGCCTCACGGGCGGACCAAAAGCACACAACGATACTAAGGCTTTTTCCTGAAGCACTTCTGACGCCCCAACTCGAGAGCCAACCATCTATCAGGAGGACCCATTCCCAGAAGTGGCAGCCAAAGGCCCCGCTTGGTGGTAAGACCCAGTTTCTCCATTTGCATTCCCTCAAATGTCCATCTACTCATCCAGGCACTGGTCCCTCTGGAGACCCACCCTTCCTTCCCCTGGTGGACCATGGCTCCTGCCAACATTGTGTGCCAATACCACTGACAACACTGTAGCATTTCCAGGAAAAGAGAAAACCCACCAGACTCCCGGAAACACCACGCCCCTGTGCACTAAAGAAGGGTCTCCCATGCTTTGCGCTGGGCCTGCCTCCGCCTTCCGCTGAAAGAGGACCTCAATTTTCTCTGGAACACCCAGCAGACCAGCATGGTTCTACTCGCCCTGGCAAAATCGTCTCCAGGCCACAAGAGGAGGAAACTTACTCTCCTGTGCCATGGCCCACAACCTCCTAGTACCTCTGAACCCTACTGCCGAACACCCACTAGGAAATCATCCCGGGCAGGCCAATGTCTTCCTCAACGTCTTGAGCTCTGGATCACCCATGCATGCCGAAACCAAATCAGGACTGACACTCAGAGGACTACAGGCTCGGAGTCCTAACGCCAAGTGAACTCGGCTGAAAAGGGCCTTCCCTTCCAGGGTCCATTCCCACACAGCCCCCGTCGGGAAAGGGCCACAGGGTTCTCCCCTCCACCACCCAACTCACTGCAGCCCCCTACGTCTACGTGGTGGACCTCAGTTTCGATGAGAACGACGGTATAGAGTTTTCACTCATTTTGTTCAGCTTCCAAGGAATGTTTTTGTGGGAGTCATCATCGATCCACGCTTGTGACCCTCACCTGGCAAGGACCAACCTCGGTGACTTGGGGCAAGGAGACGCTTACCATCGTCAGCTATGAAGGGCCACACTCAGGAAACAGAGGGCACGGGCATGCGGGTGTTCCCCGTCCTCCCTGGGCATCTTCCCACAGCCACAGGAGCCGGCGGCAACCTTTCCATGCTTCCGTGGAAACACGACCTGCCATGCGAATGCAAGGAGACAAAACAGAGGGATGCCCATGAAGAATAACCAAGACTGGCCTGCTCCGCAGCCTGCTGCTCCTCAGTACACGCTCGTTAGGGAATGCAGACTTTTCACTTGCCTGCGCCATGCCGGCCTTAGCTCAGGTCCCATGTGGCTCTTAAGGTGACCAAGAAACACTTCCAGCCACAGGAAACCCATCTAGAATCTCCATCCAACTCTACAACCCCATCTGACCCTGACACCTTCCCTGCACAGGATGGCCAAGCATGGAAGGACGAACTTGAGAATGTACGTCCTCTGGAAACCTCCTGCCTTTCTGGGCCATTGCCACGGGCATCTCGGAGCCCCACGTGACATAGACTCCAACAGGAGCCCCAGCCCCACCCTGAAGGTCCAATGCCTGAACCCCACAACTTGTGCAGGAGAGGAGACCCTCAACGCCTCTCCAGCGCCTATGAAAGGCACTTGGCAAACTGCTGAATTTCATCACTCTCTACTTCCTTCAGGCACAGGCAACAATCCTTACGCACTTCTTTGGACCCAGTTAGGCCTTTCCACTCCCCAAACCATTCACGGCTGTCCTAGGCTCAATAACTACAAGCTGAGGTCTCGGGTTCACATGCGCCTCCTACCAGAGAAGTCATCCCTGAGGTCTGCCACCACATTGGCTCATTCGGGATCCAAACTGCGTCTGTGCTCTTTCACAAAGCACATCAACCACCATGCATGCAGCCTCACGGGCGGACCAAAAGCACACAACGATACTAAGGCTTTTTCCTGAAGCACTTCTGACGCCCCAACTCGAGAGCCAACCATCTATCAGGAGGACCCATTCCCAGAAGTGGCAGCCAAAGGCCCCGCTTGGTGGTAAGACCCAGTTTCTCCATTTGCATTCCCTCAAATGTCCATCTACTCATCCAGGCACTGGTCCCTCTGGAGACCCACCCTTCCTTCCCCTGGTGGACCATGGCTCCTGCCAACATTGTGTGCCAATACCACTGACAACACTGTAGCATTTCCAGGAAAAGAGAAAACCCACCAGACTCCCGGAAACACCACGCCCCTGTGCACTAAAGAAGGGTCTCCCATGCTTTGCGCTGGGCCTGCCTCCGCCTTCCGCTGAAAGAGGACCTCAATTTTCTCTGGAACACCCAGCAGACCAGCATGGTTCTACTCGCCCTGGCAAAATCGTCTCCAGGCCACAAGAGGAGGAAACTTACTCTCCTGTGCCATGGCCCACAACCTCCTAGTACCTCTGAACCCTACTGCCGAACACCCACTAGGAAATCATCCCGGGCAGGCCAATGTCTTCCTCAACGTCTTGAGCTCTGGATCACCCATGCATGCCGAAACCAAATCAGGACTGACACTCAGAGGACTACAGGCTCGGAGTCCTAACGCCAAGTGAACTCGGCTGAAAAGGGCCTTCCCTTCCAGGGTCCATTCCCACACAGCCCCCGTCGGGAAAGGGCCACAGGGTTCTCCCCTCCACCACCCAACTCACTGCAGCCCCCTACGTCTACGTGGTGGACCTCAGTTTCGATGAGAACGACGGTATAGAGTTTTCACTCATTTTGTTCAGCTTCCAAGGAATGTTTTTGTGGGAGTCATCATCGATCCACGCTTGTGACCCTCACCTGGCAAGGACCAACCTCGGTGACTTGGGGCAAGGAGACGCTTACCATCGTCAGCTATGAAGGGCCACACTCAGGAAACAGAGGGCACGGGCATGCGGGTGTTCCCCGTCCTCCCTGGGCATCTTCCCACAGCCACAGGAGCCGGCGGCAACCTTTCCATGCTTCCGTGGAAACACGACCTGCCATGCGAATGCAAGGAGACAAAACAGAGGGATGCCCATGAAGAATAACCAAGACTGGCCTGCTCCGCAGCCTGCTGCTCCTCAGTACACGCTCGTTAGGGAATGCAGACTTTTCACTTGCCTGCGCCATGCCGGCCTTAGCTCAGGTCCCATGTGGCTCTTAAGGTGACCAAGAAACACTTCCAGCCACAGGAAACCCATCTAGAATCTCCATCCAACTCTACAACCCCATCTGACCCTGACACCTTCCCTGCACAGGATGGCCAAGCATGGAAGGACGAACTTGAGAATGTACGTCCTCTGGAAACCTCCTGCCTTTCTGGGCCATTGCCACGGGCATCTCGGAGCCCCACGTGACATAGACTCCAACAGGAGCCCCAGCCCCACCCTGAAGGTCCAATGCCTGAACCCCACAACTTGTGCAGGAGAGGAGACCCTCAACGCCTCTCCAGCGCCTATGAAAGGCACTTGGCAAACTGCTGAATTTCATCACTCTCTACTTCCTTCAGGCACAGGCAACAATCCTTACGCACTTCTTTGGACCCAGTTAGGCCTTTCCACTCCCCAAACCATTCACGGCTGTCCTAGGCTCAATAACTACAAGCTGAGGTCTCGGGTTCACATGCGCCTCCTACCAGAGAAGTCATCCCTGAGGTCTGCCACCACATTGGCTCATTCGGGATCCAAACTGCGTCTGTGCTCTTTCACAAAGCACATCAACCACCATGCATGCAGCCTCACGGGCGGACCAAAAGCACACAACGATACTAAGGCTTTTTCCTGAAGCACTTCTGACGCCCCAACTCGAGAGCCAACCATCTATCAGGAGGACCCATTCCCAGAAGTGGCAGCCAAAGGCCCCGCTTGGTGGTAAGACCCAGTTTCTCCATTTGCATTCCCTCAAATGTCCATCTACTCATCCAGGCACTGGTCCCTCTGGAGACCCACCCTTCCTTCCCCTGGTGGACCATGGCTCCTGCCAACATTGTGTGCCAATACCACTGACAACACTGTAGCATTTCCAGGAAAAGAGAAAACCCACCAGACTCCCGGAAACACCACGCCCCTGTGCACTAAAGAAGGGTCTCCCATGCTTTGCGCTGGGCCTGCCTCCGCCTTCCGCTGAAAGAGGACCTCAATTTTCTCTGGAACACCCAGCAGACCAGCATGGTTCTACTCGCCCTGGCAAAATCGTCTCCAGGCCACAAGAGGAGGAAACTTACTCTCCTGTGCCATGGCCCACAACCTCCTAGTACCTCTGAACCCTACTGCCGAACACCCACTAGGAAATCATCCCGGGCAGGCCAATGTCTTCCTCAACGTCTTGAGCTCTGGATCACCCATGCATGCCGAAACCAAATCAGGACTGACACTCAGAGGACTACAGGCTCGGAGTCCTAACGCCAAGTGAACTCGGCTGAAAAGGGCCTTCCCTTCCAGGGTCCATTCCCACACAGCCCCCGTCGGGAAAGGGCCACAGGGTTCTCCCCTCCACCACCCAACTCACTGCAGCCCCCTACGTCTACGTGGTGGACCTCAGTTTCGATGAGAACGACGGTATAGAGTTTTCACTCATTTTGTTCAGCTTCCAAGGAATGTTTTTGTGGGAGTCATCATCGATCCACGCTTGTGACCCTCACCTGGCAAGGACCAACCTCGGTGACTTGGGGCAAGGAGACGCTTACCATCGTCAGCTATGAAGGGCCACACTCAGGAAACAGAGGGCACGGGCATGCGGGTGTTCCCCGTCCTCCCTGGGCATCTTCCCACAGCCACAGGAGCCGGCGGCAACCTTTCCATGCTTCCGTGGAAACACGACCTGCCATGCGAATGCAAGGAGACAAAACAGAGGGATGCCCATGAAGAATAACCAAGACTGGCCTGCTCCGCAGCCTGCTGCTCCTCAGTACACGCTCGTTAGGGAATGCAGACTTTTCACTTGCCTGCGCCATGCCGGCCTTAGCTCAGGTCCCATGTGGCTCTTAAGGTGACCAAGAAACACTTCCAGCCACAGGAAACCCATCTAGAATCTCCATCCAACTCTACAACCCCATCTGACCCTGACACCTTCCCTGCACAGGATGGCCAAGCATGGAAGGACGAACTTGAGAATGTACGTCCTCTGGAAACCTCCTGCCTTTCTGGGCCATTGCCACGGGCATCTCGGAGCCCCACGTGACATAGACTCCAACAGGAGCCCCAGCCCCACCCTGAAGGTCCAATGCCTGAACCCCACAACTTGTGCAGGAGAGGAGACCCTCAACGCCTCTCCAGCGCCTATGAAAGGCACTTGGCAAACTGCTGAATTTCATCACTCTCTACTTCCTTCAGGCACAGGCAACAATCCTTACGCACTTCTTTGGACCCAGTTAGGCCTTTCCACTCCCCAAACCATTCACGGCTGTCCTAGGCTCAATAACTACAAGCTGAGGTCTCGGGTTCACATGCGCCTCCTACCAGAGAAGTCATCCCTGAGGTCTGCCACCACATTGGCTCATTCGGGATCCAAACTGCGTCTGTGCTCTTTCACAAAGCACATCAACCACCATGCATGCAGCCTCACGGGCGGACCAAAAGCACACAACGATACTAAGGCTTTTTCCTGAAGCACTTCTGACGCCCCAACTCGAGAGCCAACCATCTATCAGGAGGACCCATTCCCAGAAGTGGCAGCCAAAGGCCCCGCTTGGTGGTAAGACCCAGTTTCTCCATTTGCATTCCCTCAAATGTCCATCTACTCATCCAGGCACTGGTCCCTCTGGAGACCCACCCTTCCTTCCCCTGGTGGACCATGGCTCCTGCCAACATTGTGTGCCAATACCACTGACAACACTGTAGCATTTCCAGGAAAAGAGAAAACCCACCAGACTCCCGGAAACACCACGCCCCTGTGCACTAAAGAAGGGTCTCCCATGCTTTGCGCTGGGCCTGCCTCCGCCTTCCGCTGAAAGAGGACCTCAATTTTCTCTGGAACACCCAGCAGACCAGCATGGTTCTACTCGCCCTGGCAAAATCGTCTCCAGGCCACAAGAGGAGGAAACTTACTCTCCTGTGCCATGGCCCACAACCTCCTAGTACCTCTGAACCCTACTGCCGAACACCCACTAGGAAATCATCCCGGGCAGGCCAATGTCTTCCTCAACGTCTTGAGCTCTGGATCACCCATGCATGCCGAAACCAAATCAGGACTGACACTCAGAGGACTACAGGCTCGGAGTCCTAACGCCAAGTGAACTCGGCTGAAAAGGGCCTTCCCTTCCAGGGTCCATTCCCACACAGCCCCCGTCGGGAAAGGGCCACAGGGTTCTCCCCTCCACCACCCAACTCACTGCAGCCCCCTACGTCTACGTGGTGGACCTCAGTTTCGATGAGAACGACGGTATAGAGTTTTCACTCATTTTGTTCAGCTTCCAAGGAATGTTTTTGTGGGAGTCATCATCGATCCACGCTTGTGACCCTCACCTGGCAAGGACCAACCTCGGTGACTTGGGGCAAGGAGACGCTTACCATCGTCAGCTATGAAGGGCCACACTCAGGAAACAGAGGGCACGGGCATGCGGGTGTTCCCCGTCCTCCCTGGGCATCTTCCCACAGCCACAGGAGCCGGCGGCAACCTTTCCATGCTTCCGTGGAAACACGACCTGCCATGCGAATGCAAGGAGACAAAACAGAGGGATGCCCATGAAGAATAACCAAGACTGGCCTGCTCCGCAGCCTGCTGCTCCTCAGTACACGCTCGTTAGGGAATGCAGACTTTTCACTTGCCTGCGCCATGCCGGCCTTAGCTCAGGTCCCATGTGGCTCTTAAGGTGACCAAGAAACACTTCCAGCCACAGGAAACCCATCTAGAATCTCCATCCAACTCTACAACCCCATCTGACCCTGACACCTTCCCTGCACAGGATGGCCAAGCATGGAAGGACGAACTTGAGAATGTACGTCCTCTGGAAACCTCCTGCCTTTCTGGGCCATTGCCACGGGCATCTCGGAGCCCCACGTGACATAGACTCCAACAGGAGCCCCAGCCCCACCCTGAAGGTCCAATGCCTGAACCCCACAACTTGTGCAGGAGAGGAGACCCTCAACGCCTCTCCAGCGCCTATGAAAGGCACTTGGCAAACTGCTGAATTTCATCACTCTCTACTTCCTTCAGGCACAGGCAACAATCCTTACGCACTTCTTTGGACCCAGTTAGGCCTTTCCACTCCCCAAACCATTCACGGCTGTCCTAGGCTCAATAACTACAAGCTGAGGTCTCGGGTTCACATGCGCCTCCTACCAGAGAAGTCATCCCTGAGGTCTGCCACCACATTGGCTCATTCGGGATCCAAACTGCGTCTGTGCTCTTTCACAAAGCACATCAACCACCATGCATGCAGCCTCACGGGCGGACCAAAAGCACACAACGATACTAAGGCTTTTTCCTGAAGCACTTCTGACGCCCCAACTCGAGAGCCAACCATCTATCAGGAGGACCCATTCCCAGAAGTGGCAGCCAAAGGCCCCGCTTGGTGGTAAGACCCAGTTTCTCCATTTGCATTCCCTCAAATGTCCATCTACTCATCCAGGCACTGGTCCCTCTGGAGACCCACCCTTCCTTCCCCTGGTGGACCATGGCTCCTGCCAACATTGTGTGCCAATACCACTGACAACACTGTAGCATTTCCAGGAAAAGAGAAAACCCACCAGACTCCCGGAAACACCACGCCCCTGTGCACTAAAGAAGGGTCTCCCATGCTTTGCGCTGGGCCTGCCTCCGCCTTCCGCTGAAAGAGGACCTCAATTTTCTCTGGAACACCCAGCAGACCAGCATGGTTCTACTCGCCCTGGCAAAATCGTCTCCAGGCCACAAGAGGAGGAAACTTACTCTCCTGTGCCATGGCCCACAACCTCCTAGTACCTCTGAACCCTACTGCCGAACACCCACTAGGAAATCATCCCGGGCAGGCCAATGTCTTCCTCAACGTCTTGAGCTCTGGATCACCCATGCATGCCGAAACCAAATCAGGACTGACACTCAGAGGACTACAGGCTCGGAGTCCTAACGCCAAGTGAACTCGGCTGAAAAGGGCCTTCCCTTCCAGGGTCCATTCCCACACAGCCCCCGTCGGGAAAGGGCCACAGGGTTCTCCCCTCCACCACCCAACTCACTGCAGCCCCCTACGTCTACGTGGTGGACCTCAGTTTCGATGAGAACGACGGTATAGAGTTTTCACTCATTTTGTTCAGCTTCCAAGGAATGTTTTTGTGGGAGTCATCATCGATCCACGCTTGTGACCCTCACCTGGCAAGGACCAACCTCGGTGACTTGGGGCAAGGAGACGCTTACCATCGTCAGCTATGAAGGGCCACACTCAGGAAACAGAGGGCACGGGCATGCGGGTGTTCCCCGTCCTCCCTGGGCATCTTCCCACAGCCACAGGAGCCGGCGGCAACCTTTCCATGCTTCCGTGGAAACACGACCTGCCATGCGAATGCAAGGAGACAAAACAGAGGGATGCCCATGAAGAATAACCAAGACTGGCCTGCTCCGCAGCCTGCTGCTCCTCAGTACACGCTCGTTAGGGAATGCAGACTTTTCACTTGCCTGCGCCATGCCGGCCTTAGCTCAGGTCCCATGTGGCTCTTAAGGTGACCAAGAAACACTTCCAGCCACAGGAAACCCATCTAGAATCTCCATCCAACTCTACAACCCCATCTGACCCTGACACCTTCCCTGCACAGGATGGCCAAGCATGGAAGGACGAACTTGAGAATGTACGTCCTCTGGAAACCTCCTGCCTTTCTGGGCCATTGCCACGGGCATCTCGGAGCCCCACGTGACATAGACTCCAACAGGAGCCCCAGCCCCACCCTGAAGGTCCAATGCCTGAACCCCACAACTTGTGCAGGAGAGGAGACCCTCAACGCCTCTCCAGCGCCTATGAAAGGCACTTGGCAAACTGCTGAATTTCATCACTCTCTACTTCCTTCAGGCACAGGCAACAATCCTTACGCACTTCTTTGGACCCAGTTAGGCCTTTCCACTCCCCAAACCATTCACGGCTGTCCTAGGCTCAATAACTACAAGCTGAGGTCTCGGGTTCACATGCGCCTCCTACCAGAGAAGTCATCCCTGAGGTCTGCCACCACATTGGCTCATTCGGGATCCAAACTGCGTCTGTGCTCTTTCACAAAGCACATCAACCACCATGCATGCAGCCTCACGGGCGGACCAAAAGCACACAACGATACTAAGGCTTTTTCCTGAAGCACTTCTGACGCCCCAACTCGAGAGCCAACCATCTATCAGGAGGACCCATTCCCAGAAGTGGCAGCCAAAGGCCCCGCTTGGTGGTAAGACCCAGTTTCTCCATTTGCATTCCCTCAAATGTCCATCTACTCATCCAGGCACTGGTCCCTCTGGAGACCCACCCTTCCTTCCCCTGGTGGACCATGGCTCCTGCCAACATTGTGTGCCAATACCACTGACAACACTGTAGCATTTCCAGGAAAAGAGAAAACCCACCAGACTCCCGGAAACACCACGCCCCTGTGCACTAAAGAAGGGTCTCCCATGCTTTGCGCTGGGCCTGCCTCCGCCTTCCGCTGAAAGAGGACCTCAATTTTCTCTGGAACACCCAGCAGACCAGCATGGTTCTACTCGCCCTGGCAAAATCGTCTCCAGGCCACAAGAGGAGGAAACTTACTCTCCTGTGCCATGGCCCACAACCTCCTAGTACCTCTGAACCCTACTGCCGAACACCCACTAGGAAATCATCCCGGGCAGGCCAATGTCTTCCTCAACGTCTTGAGCTCTGGATCACCCATGCATGCCGAAACCAAATCAGGACTGACACTCAGAGGACTACAGGCTCGGAGTCCTAACGCCAAGTGAACTCGGCTGAAAAGGGCCTTCCCTTCCAGGGTCCATTCCCACACAGCCCCCGTCGGGAAAGGGCCACAGGGTTCTCCCCTCCACCACCCAACTCACTGCAGCCCCCTACGTCTACGTGGTGGACCTCAGTTTCGATGAGAACGACGGTATAGAGTTTTCACTCATTTTGTTCAGCTTCCAAGGAATGTTTTTGTGGGAGTCATCATCGATCCACGCTTGTGACCCTCACCTGGCAAGGACCAACCTCGGTGACTTGGGGCAAGGAGACGCTTACCATCGTCAGCTATGAAGGGCCACACTCAGGAAACAGAGGGCACGGGCATGCGGGTGTTCCCCGTCCTCCCTGGGCATCTTCCCACAGCCACAGGAGCCGGCGGCAACCTTTCCATGCTTCCGTGGAAACACGACCTGCCATGCGAATGCAAGGAGACAAAACAGAGGGATGCCCATGAAGAATAACCAAGACTGGCCTGCTCCGCAGCCTGCTGCTCCTCAGTACACGCTCGTTAGGGAATGCAGACTTTTCACTTGCCTGCGCCATGCCGGCCTTAGCTCAGGTCCCATGTGGCTCTTAAGGTGACCAAGAAACACTTCCAGCCACAGGAAACCCATCTAGAATCTCCATCCAACTCTACAACCCCATCTGACCCTGACACCTTCCCTGCACAGGATGGCCAAGCATGGAAGGACGAACTTGAGAATGTACGTCCTCTGGAAACCTCCTGCCTTTCTGGGCCATTGCCACGGGCATCTCGGAGCCCCACGTGACATAGACTCCAACAGGAGCCCCAGCCCCACCCTGAAGGTCCAATGCCTGAACCCCACAACTTGTGCAGGAGAGGAGACCCTCAACGCCTCTCCAGCGCCTATGAAAGGCACTTGGCAAACTGCTGAATTTCATCACTCTCTACTTCCTTCAGGCACAGGCAACAATCCTTACGCACTTCTTTGGACCCAGTTAGGCCTTTCCACTCCCCAAACCATTCACGGCTGTCCTAGGCTCAATAACTACAAGCTGAGGTCTCGGGTTCACATGCGCCTCCTACCAGAGAAGTCATCCCTGAGGTCTGCCACCACATTGGCTCATTCGGGATCCAAACTGCGTCTGTGCTCTTTCACAAAGCACATCAACCACCATGCATGCAGCCTCACGGGCGGACCAAAAGCACACAACGATACTAAGGCTTTTTCCTGAAGCACTTCTGACGCCCCAACTCGAGAGCCAACCATCTATCAGGAGGACCCATTCCCAGAAGTGGCAGCCAAAGGCCCCGCTTGGTGGTAAGACCCAGTTTCTCCATTTGCATTCCCTCAAATGTCCATCTACTCATCCAGGCACTGGTCCCTCTGGAGACCCACCCTTCCTTCCCCTGGTGGACCATGGCTCCTGCCAACATTGTGTGCCAATACCACTGACAACACTGTAGCATTTCCAGGAAAAGAGAAAACCCACCAGACTCCCGGAAACACCACGCCCCTGTGCACTAAAGAAGGGTCTCCCATGCTTTGCGCTGGGCCTGCCTCCGCCTTCCGCTGAAAGAGGACCTCAATTTTCTCTGGAACACCCAGCAGACCAGCATGGTTCTACTCGCCCTGGCAAAATCGTCTCCAGGCCACAAGAGGAGGAAACTTACTCTCCTGTGCCATGGCCCACAACCTCCTAGTACCTCTGAACCCTACTGCCGAACACCCACTAGGAAATCATCCCGGGCAGGCCAATGTCTTCCTCAACGTCTTGAGCTCTGGATCACCCATGCATGCCGAAACCAAATCAGGACTGACACTCAGAGGACTACAGGCTCGGAGTCCTAACGCCAAGTGAACTCGGCTGAAAAGGGCCTTCCCTTCCAGGGTCCATTCCCACACAGCCCCCGTCGGGAAAGGGCCACAGGGTTCTCCCCTCCACCACCCAACTCACTGCAGCCCCCTACGTCTACGTGGTGGACCTCAGTTTCGATGAGAACGACGGTATAGAGTTTTCACTCATTTTGTTCAGCTTCCAAGGAATGTTTTTGTGGGAGTCATCATCGATCCACGCTTGTGACCCTCACCTGGCAAGGACCAACCTCGGTGACTTGGGGCAAGGAGACGCTTACCATCGTCAGCTATGAAGGGCCACACTCAGGAAACAGAGGGCACGGGCATGCGGGTGTTCCCCGTCCTCCCTGGGCATCTTCCCACAGCCACAGGAGCCGGCGGCAACCTTTCCATGCTTCCGTGGAAACACGACCTGCCATGCGAATGCAAGGAGACAAAACAGAGGGATGCCCATGAAGAATAACCAAGACTGGCCTGCTCCGCAGCCTGCTGCTCCTCAGTACACGCTCGTTAGGGAATGCAGACTTTTCACTTGCCTGCGCCATGCCGGCCTTAGCTCAGGTCCCATGTGGCTCTTAAGGTGACCAAGAAACACTTCCAGCCACAGGAAACCCATCTAGAATCTCCATCCAACTCTACAACCCCATCTGACCCTGACACCTTCCCTGCACAGGATGGCCAAGCATGGAAGGACGAACTTGAGAATGTACGTCCTCTGGAAACCTCCTGCCTTTCTGGGCCATTGCCACGGGCATCTCGGAGCCCCACGTGACATAGACTCCAACAGGAGCCCCAGCCCCACCCTGAAGGTCCAATGCCTGAACCCCACAACTTGTGCAGGAGAGGAGACCCTCAACGCCTCTCCAGCGCCTATGAAAGGCACTTGGCAAACTGCTGAATTTCATCACTCTCTACTTCCTTCAGGCACAGGCAACAATCCTTACGCACTTCTTTGGACCCAGTTAGGCCTTTCCACTCCCCAAACCATTCACGGCTGTCCTAGGCTCAATAACTACAAGCTGAGGTCTCGGGTTCACATGCGCCTCCTACCAGAGAAGTCATCCCTGAGGTCTGCCACCACATTGGCTCATTCGGGATCCAAACTGCGTCTGTGCTCTTTCACAAAGCACATCAACCACCATGCATGCAGCCTCACGGGCGGACCAAAAGCACACAACGATACTAAGGCTTTTTCCTGAAGCACTTCTGACGCCCCAACTCGAGAGCCAACCATCTATCAGGAGGACCCATTCCCAGAAGTGGCAGCCAAAGGC